AAAAAACGTTAATTTAAAATCCATATTTTGTGTTGATACATATGCAGAATTCACTGTGCATTTCACAAAAAACATTTCAAGGAAAGGACATGAAAAACAGAGCTTCTGTGAAATGAGTCAAAGTTTTCAGCATAAAGATATGAGATGTATGACAAACCTTATACCTGGCCTACTATACCACTTCCTGTGGTAGAACTGCTGCATATCCAGGAAGCAGCTCATATATGTGAAAAAACCTGACACACTTCATGTGACATTTCATTTCATTTGCTACAGTAGTTTGGTTTTATAACGAAACACACAGTCATTTCATTTCTGGATAAGAAAGCAAATTACTCCATAAATATTTTAAACCAAATCTAAAATTCTAGCACATTTCTCTTTTGACCTTTTTATTTATTTTCTTTTTTAGTAGGGATGTCGGCCGGCAGTGTGTTCTCATTCTGGGACATCGATTAAAGCATTTATCTGCCAAATACCAGCTTCATTTCCATCATAGTTGTCTGTTTAAGAAAAAAACTGGTTATTTCTCAAGAGTCTTCTCTAGACCCTAGGACTCTAAGACACCAGAAAAAGCAAGTGACTTTGTACTGTGTACTGTGTGCAGAAGTCAGGACGTCGGTGTCAGAGAAGTACACGAGAAGGGTGTTGCAGGACATGTAACAGGATGAGACAGTGATGAGGGGCGTGGTGGGAATAACAGATGGGTTTATGATGGGGTTGGGATGACATCAGAGATTAGCTCTGAGCTCCTTATTTGATATGGTGATGGACAAGCTGACAGATGAGGAGTTTCTGTGGACTATGATGTTTGCAGATGACACTGAAATTTGTATTTAGAGGAGTAGGGGACAGGTGGAAGAGAGCCTGGGGAGGTGGAGGTAAGTTCTGGAGATAAGATGAATGAAAGTCCCTAGAAGTAAGCTAAAATACATGTTTTTGAATGTGGGAGACAGTGCACAAGAGAGGCAAAGAAGAGAGTGCAGGCAAGGTGCTGTGGGCAGAGATGAGTGTCATGAGTGTGAGTTATGGCAAAAGGATAACAGGAAGAATGAAAGGGGGAATTACAAATTGATAGTTACAGCTGCTGTGATATATAGTTTGGACAAGGTAACACATCACTTCTCCCACCTCACAGCTGGAGGTGGGAGAAGTGACGATAAACAGCGAGAATAAAACTGAAAACTACTTGGTTAACTTTTGATTTAGGAATATAAAACTTTAGGTTAATCAATGTCCCGGAAATGTTAAGATTAAGTTTACTCTTTAAAACTTACAGTTTTAAACCTGACCTTCACCAGGCAGCATAGAGGGGTAGACATACTGGTGCATTATGGTGATACAGGTTTTGCTAATAAGTTGTGGTCAGGTTTATCCAACAAACATCCCATTTAATCACCAAGTTATAATTCAAACTGCTTTATGTATGTAAAAGTATTTATAGGCTGTCTGACGAAACCTTCATGAAACCTACCATCATCATCACCTCTCACTTCCAGCCAAATCTCTGGTGACTCTCCTTTTGTGGGATGAACACACTTGTAGGAGCCTTCGTTCTCCTTGGACACATGGATAAAGCTCAACCTTCCGTCAGACGTTTTTTCAATAAAAGTACCATTTCTGTAGAAAGCAGTACTGAAATTGGACGTAGACTCCTTTGCATATTTTTCCTTATAGGAGCAGTTTAGTGTCACACTGTCTCCCTCAGTCAGAGGAACAGCAGGACCCTGCAGGATCACACCAGCTGAAATGCAGAAAGAGAAACTGTGGTCTCTGACTCTGGTTTTTGTCCTTAGTTAAATAAAATTGCAAAATGTGTTAATTTTATTTTTACTTAAGCTACAACATCAACAATCTAACATTACTTAGAAAGCTTACTTGTCACTCTGATGTTGATGGTGTTGCTGCACTCCCTGCTGTCAGACTCACACCAGTACACTCCACTGTCTGATGGGTAGACACCTTTGATGGTGCAGGATGA